GACACCATTCATGACTTCCACTAGCTGCTTCAACTCGCTCTTTCTCACCACAATCTTCACCCTTACAACCCCTCCACCTTCCTCGGTGCATGAAACAACTCCATTTCCCTTTGGAATTGGAACCGTCCCTTCCATCACACCCTTAGCTCTATTCTTCCTTTGCATCGAACCTTTCAACAACTCATACCCTCTCCTCATCGAGACACCCTTTAACTCCATCCTTTGATCCTTAACGACAATTTGATATGTCAACAAATATATGTCACTATTAGCGATATATGGATATGAATTATGAAAGCTGAAGCTGCTTTTCGCCAATCAGCTAGCCTTGTATATATAGAGATGATGGATGAATCTAACATAATAAATATATTGCTCTCGTTATCTGGCATTCCGTGCTGTATTAAATTATTAAACAGAGTCAATGAGTAAAATATATAGAGGGAGGTGCCATTAATTATTATGGATAAATCTTCGAACTACAATACTGAACTAATAAATACTATTGAATTTAAGTTCTCCAACCACTCACATGCTCTCTGTTGAAGTTTGCGACCCTTTTTATCGTATAAAACTTACATACAATATTGATGTCGTCCTCTTATAAGAATCGATATTTCATTTCAGAAATAAGTGTAATAAATTATTTTATTAAATGTTAACGTGCAAGTAAAATTTGAATTCTGATTAAAAAAACATCATCAATAAATAATATATATATGTATTGTACATAAGTTTTGTTTTTGTTATTAATGAAAATAACACGTTTGCATGGAGTGGAAAAATTTTCAAGTTAAGTAAGCGTGTTAACTTATCTACAAACTACAAAGGGAGAATAATTGCTAGTTAGGTTGTTGGTGGAGGTGTTAAAAACAATTGCGAATAATAGTTGGCAGTTATGGTGGAGAGTTAGTGTTAGAGATGCCCTGAGAATTCAGACCCAAAAATTTTCCCACAACATAGCTTAGCTAGGGTCTCCTATTAAATTTCTCTAATAATTTAGCCCTGTTTACTTTAGTTTATTCTATTTCAAATTTATAATTCTCTTGAATCTTTCCTTCAATGTTTCAATGACTACCTGGGTTTCGTATCAGCCTTTTCTTTATTTGTGTCCATTTATGTAGTTTGTGAAAAAAAAAATAGACACGTAGCTGTCATTAATTAATCGTATTTATTGGGTCGCCCTGTTTGACAAGTTTTAGTTGAATTCTGTACACTTTCTAGATTTTTCATTCCGCAGCCTAACTGCATATGTACAGGGTAGAGAACAGATCATGGCTAATAAATTTTGTTGAATGTCAAATTCAATTTTAACGTCAAGTTATATATTATATGTTAACGTTATATATGGTTTATGTCAACATCAGATTTTGCTGTGAATAATTTCAAAAGGCTTAAAGTTTTAGATTTTTTATTTTTATTTTAACATGAATCGTCCCTGCTGA